GTTTCTTTGAAAATAGGTGACAAAAAGGCTTCCTGCAGCGGACAAAGCCTAATGCCAGCCCTGCCATCCTAGCCCGGCCTTCGCCGTGGGCTTTTAAGAGCTGATTTGGAGCTGTAAAGTTCACCCGCTTGCTGCCGAGCTCCAGTGGGGTTGGAATTTTGAGCTCCTAAAAGTGCTGCTGCATAAATCCGGGCTTGTTTCTGTTTATCCAGGGCTGTGCAGACGGCAGGGACAGAAAGCAAAGCCACGTTTGTTCGCAGTGATCGCTCGGATTTTACAATTATGCTGGTGGCACCCAGGGCTGAGTGAGTGCAGGTGCCCTTTGGTGATACAGGTTGTTCAGTAGGCTGGATTTAAAAATAAAATCACTCATAGGGAAAAGCTTTCACTTTAATATTTCTCTTTGGTTATCTGAAGGCTTGTCTTTGCTATTGTGTTGGGGTGGTAATTTGTGAAGTTTGAGTAGTTTGTGAGCAGTGTTTTAATGTGTGATGTTGCTGAGCCAGGGCTTAGATACTTGTACATCGGTGTTTTCCTAACAGTTCCTGTATTCTGTGCAGCACTGCAGTGGTGACAGGAGAGCGAATACACCCCTGTGGCTGGGAGAGGCTGGGAACTATTGCTGCAATAGGTGCCTGACCTGATTGCTGAAAAGAAGGAATCGGTTGATCCACTTTGTTGTGAATGACCTCATTCATGGTTATCAATTTGTAAAGGGCGAGTGTCAGGAGGAAGGAGCCAGGCTCTGCTCTGGGATGTCCAATGACAGGACAAGGGGCAATGGGAGCAGCTGGAGCATAGGAGGTTCAACCTGAACATGAGGACAAACTTTTTTACTGTGAGGGTGACAGAGCACTGGACCAGGCTGCCCAGAGAGGTTGTGGAGTCTCCTTCTCTGCAGACATTCAAAACCCGCCTGGCCGTGTTCCTGTGTGACCTGGTCTGGTGATCCTGCTCTGGCAGGGGTTGGACTGGATGAGCTTTGGAGGTCCCTTCCAACTCCTGAGATTCTGTGATTCTGTGAATATAAAAATACTCTGAAATGATTGACTTAACTGGTAGTATATCTATTTATAATATTTATGTGCTTTCAAGAGAAGATGTAAAATCCCCAGCTGTAAATCTGTTCTTGCATGCTGATGGATCATGCTGTATCTGCAAGAAGATTTAAGGCTCAGGTTGGGAAAAGTTCTAGGCTTGCAGTAGAAGCCGCTGACACATCTTGGTGACTGAACTGCTATTTGAAGTCCGGTGTCTCCTCTTTGGCTTTCTGTGGTTCTTTTTTTTTCCTTGAATAAGAATTGAGGTGGTTTTGTGTTGGGTTTGTTGGCTGTTGTTGTTGTTGTTTTTAAGAACAGGTCTTTTTTGGCCAATTTAGCTTCCGTTGTTCTTGTTAGTTGTCACATGCTGTTTCATAAGCTGGTTGCTTTCCTGGCTGATCATCTCCCAGGTTGATCACAACGTCGGTTTTCACTGTGATGTTAGTACAGAAGTCTGTAGACCAGGAATTAAATTAATTTGCAGTAAGGACTTTTTAAAAAGTGGCAGTTTCCTTATCTACAGTAATTTCTGTGATACTCAGTATGGATTTTTTTTTTCCTCTTTTTGAAACAATTTTTACAAGGGGATTTTTCTAGAAATGCAGTGAAAAGAGCTTTATTTACCCCCAGTTGGTAAGTGTGGCTAGGTGCTGGTGTCGGAGAAGAGAGCAGCAAACCAGCTGAAGAACCCAAAACCTCAGGCCAAGTCAGGCAGCCATAGCTGACACCAAGCTTTGTATCCTCCATCTTCTGGAAACAAAATTGTGCTGAGATTTCCCATGTGAACTCATTTCCTATTGCATCTAATGAACTTTTTCTCTTCTTGTTTGCCCCAAGTTGTGTCCAGAGTGCCGATTCCTGCAGAGGAAGGAGATGCTGCTGCGTACACAGCTCTCCTAACAACCAATGAGCAGCGGGATGTGCTGGAGCGCCTCGACTTTGTGTTGAGAAACATTTCCGAGCTAAGAAGAGAAGTGAAGGAGCTACGAAACAGCCTGCAGCAGTTAGCTACAGAAATAGTTGGCGAAGTCAGGTATCGGCCCTACCCCTTTCTGTCTTTTTCTACCCTTGTGTGTAGAAGAGTTTTACCATACTCCATAGCGTGGTAAAACAGCCATCGTTGAGTATGGTAAATTTAAAATCCAAAAGTGGGGAAAAGTGTTTATCTGATTTCCTCTGGCATTACGTCTTGATCTGCAGGGAGATTAATGTAAAAAACAATAATAAATAAAAGAATATGTTTAGCCAGGGTTGTGTTTTTTCCTCTGGAATATTAAATACTGACACTTGCTTCGTGTTCTAGACTGCGAAGGTTGTTCTGCAGATGTTTGTCTCTTACTACTGCTGTTTTCTCTCTGGTGCCTACTGTAGGTAACTTTTGATATAGAATAAAAGGTCCTGTGTTCTGTGAAGTGTTTCTGGATTCCTTTGTCCCTGTTCATTGAGGAAAGCAGAGGAATGTGTGTGATCTGACTGCCCCCTTGTACGTGGAGTGCGTACATGGATTGTACAGGGACCAAGCCTGGTAGCTGTAGGATATGATGGTCGCTGTAGGGCAGCGGGATGTTTGTATGAGCCAGAGCAAGTCAGCTTGTGAGTTCTTTGGATATAACATGGATTGTACAGGGACCAAGCCTGGTAGCTTGTGAGTTCTTTGGATATAGAGCAAATTGGATAGAATCTGCTAGAGAGGAGAAGGGAAGTGAAACAACAGACATTGCGCTATCGAATGTGCCTTTGTTTTTCTTTTTGCCTTCCTCAAAGGTCCCATCTGGAAGAAACCCAGAAAGTAACTCACCGGAGGCGGTTCCAGTTCTCTAGAGAACGAAGCGATTCCACGGGCTCCAGTTCCATTTATTTCACAGCCAGCCCAGGAGCAGTCAATACAGACGACGGAGAAAGCGAAGGAGGGTAAGCAGAGCACCGTTAGAAGCAGCTTCTACGGGTTTTGGTGCCCAATTACCAACGTGTGAGCAGTTTATACCATAAAGGAAGGGATTTTATCCCCACCGCATGTCTGTCATCCTGGTTGTATTTGTTTTTATTACAGTAAGTTTACTACTGCCAGGGCCAGACTGAGAGAAGTGCAACAATATCAACTTACAGAGAAAAGGGGAAAGACAAAAAATTACAGATAGTTTTTAAGGGGTTTTTTTAAACAATAATTTGATAAGGGAACCTTGCAGGAAGAAGGGAAGTAGAAGTCCAGCCTGGAACTTGGGTGAGAGAGTTTATAAATAAAATTTTCATGCAGTAATATATTTTAGGAAATACTTGAGGAAGTTAAAAATACATTACAGTTAATTAAACTGACTTGGGCTAGGATGTTTTTTGCAGGTTTTTCTCAGTGTGTCACACTGATCAGTTGGGTTGTTTAAATTCTTATCGTTTAAAAACGGGTGAAAGCCGCACTGTAGTTTAAGAACAATAGTAAAAATTACAATATAGATGCAAGTATTGTGATACTAGATAGCAGACAGGAGGTCTACTACATATGTGTGTGTGACTGCCACCTTTCTGATGAAACACTTCTCTTTTGTGCCTTAACTGGACAAATTCTGTAGCTTTTGAGGCATGCGTGTTCAAAAACAAACGGCACTGGCCGTATGCATTTTCCCAGCAAGTTGAAATGAAGTGTAGGTTAAAGAGAGGAGTTAATTATAGCACTGAGAGCAAGGCAGGTGGAATTTTGTTGTGACACACTGTTCGGTGGCAGCTAAATGACCAGTGAGCTGCTGCACACTGGCACTTGGTAGCACGGGTTTGTAATCGGGGGACAAAGCAGCTGTTACTGTGGCAGCGTCGTAGAAAAAAGGACACAGGTGTGCAGGAACACGGGCTTTGTGACTGCCATGAACCCGTGTCATTGCAGTATTTCCTCTTCAGAAGCTGGAATTGGTGAAGCGGGCAAGAGCTGATGTGATCTCGTTCAGGTTACGGAATGGCTTTGTTCGTATGAAGTGGGCGTTCAAATGAAAGCCAGATTTGGGAGTGAGTGATTCACGATGGTGGAATAGGTAACAAGGCTGCGTATTTTAAAACTGTAGTTGATTCTGAAGACAAGACCTTGCCATCTAGATAGTAACAGATGCCTTGAGTCATCAGGGTGCCAGTGTATTTTGTAAAGCAAGCTGAAAAAGATGGTCTTTCTCAACAGGTGCCGACCCTAGGTGTCATCTTATCATTAGAAGATTTCAAGTTATGATTGAGACCAACGGTATTTCTAAGGTTCAGAGAAGGCATCCTTCTTAGAGGGCCTCGAGTGAATGGTGGAGCAGGGATATATTTTACTGCAAAATCTCATTACTTTATTGGGAACTTGGTGATAGTTGGAGGAGTTCTTACATTTTATTTAAGATCTGTAATTAGGTGTAATGACCAGTGTAGAGAATTAATGGATAAGCAGCTCTCATCTGATTTTAAAAGAAAAGAAAAAATTGAATAGTATATAATTTTTCACTCTGGTATTTGCCCTGTACAAATAGCTATAATATTAGTCTGTTCAGGACCAACTGCCTTTAGTATGCAATATTGTCTTTTAGAGATTTCAATACTAAAATTTTCCAGTAGAAAATGAGGGTAGGTAATGTAAATTTTGGAAAAGAATATTTAGGCTTTTTAGCAGATACTGGGAGGAAGAGGGAGATTATTCTCAACAGATAAATTCCAGCTGGGTATTAATTTCTGGCAATTGTATCCTTTTAATGAAACTCAGAAAGCAGAGCTCACGTTTCAGCTTTATTTTGTAAACTGCACGGACATAAGCATCTTCTCCAGTTTCATATACAGTTCACCAAAATCACCACGAGCTTTCAGGAGTGCAGAGATCCTGGGCTGCTTAATTTCCCTATATTGCTTTGGCACTGTGTTGGTCTTCTGGGCTTCTTTGCCTCCTCTTTCCGTGTGCTGCTTTTGTTCCACATAGTATGTTTTCATTTTCCTCCAGGGTGCGTGCCAGCCAGAGGCCTCAACATACTAAAGCATTTAAGAACTTTCCATCCTCGTAAACTCAAGAAAACAGGCTGCTAACATCTGAATCCCTTAATCTTCCTGAAAACTCTTGAGTTTATGAAGTTACATACGGTATTACTTGTCTTTTTAAACTGGCAGCATCTTGTATGAACTGTCTCGGAGAAAACACATTTTTGTGGTGGAGGAAAGAAAGGTGTATATGAGCCATCCATTGGTGCTTGTTCTTAAAGACCATATTGTGTTTTGTGAGCCTTCAATGGGGAAAGTGTTTTGCAGGTGCTACTAAAATGCTGTAGTGAGGCAGTATCAGAGCTGCATAGCCCACATCTGTGCTGCATAGGATGTTAGGATGGGAAATAGAATTTGAAGTGTTTGTGTTTATCGAAAATGAGGTAGTCTGGAGAACTGATAACATCATTAGTCGTAAGAAAATAGCAAGAAATGAAGCTTTTAATCTGAAACAGAGCTGTGCCAGTGTCACCTACCACCCTGTTGCTACATTAACTGTTAGTTTAGTGCTGCCTGCGTAATGTCCAGCGTGTCTTCTTGTAGTGCTTGCTTTGCTGCCTTTGCAGTGCTAAGGCTGACTCTTACTCTGTTTCTTGTCTGAAAATGTCTTAGTATAAAGTGGTGCACTTTTAAATTTATGGGTGAGGGCTGGGGGCTGTGCTGAGTGAGAGTTTTTGTTTAACTTCTACCAGAGAGGGAAATACTTGAGCGTTATTGATGGTTCTCAGGAAATTGAAGCTTTGATAATGTGTCTCCTTATCTCTGCATGACCAAATTGCCATAGCTGCTTGCTTCCGATATGGATTTCAGTCACGTATCTCTGTCACCAGACAAAGGCAGCTTCACACACAGAGCACTGGGCTGTGCCACAGAGGGGGAAATTCAGGCAGGACAGAAGGGAGTGCAGCTGTAGTTACTGACTGCTCCTGGACTGCAATGACTTAATTCTGGTAGAACTCGTAAAGCTGGCGTGGGCACAGTTTAATAGGGTAACAGTTACAGATGTCCCCAAGAATTAAGTGTTTATGGGACTTGAAGTAGATTTCACACACAGAATCACACACAGAATCGCTCGGTTGGAAAAGCCCTCTGAGATCATCACGTCCAACCGTTCCTGTCTACCCCTAAACCATATCCTTAAGTACCTCATCTACCCGCTCTTTAAACACATCCAGGGATGGTGACTCCACCACCTCCCTGGGCAGCCTGTTCCAGCTTCTGACGACCCTCTCAGTAAAGAACTTCCTCCTTATCTCTGACCTGAACCTCCCTTGGCACAGCTTGGTGCCATTTCTTCAAGAAGGGAGCTTTCTGTTCGGATGAACCAACAAAATCAGAATATGGAAGTGCACATTCTTAAATTACTGCGTGCCTTGTGCTTATTCTTCAGTTAAAAGCTTGCAGATAAATTTGAGGGGGACAAATAGTCTAATTTTTAAATAAATTAATTCTGTAAGTAGACACCCCACTGCAATGGTATCAGTCAATAGATCAGGCTGTTTTAAATTTCCAGCTTAGGTGCCTGTATATGATTTTTGGGAGCTAAATTGTATCCATTTTCAGAAACATTGATCTGAGCTTTATCCTGGTTCATTTGACTAGTTTATCAGCCAATCATGGCCTGGGTTTTTGTACACGTGGTGTCTTTCTGTGACTCATCTGCTATTTCCTTGCTGGACTTCTTACTCATGTGAAACAGTTTTGGTCACATTCCTACTGCTTTGCACCTTTTCACATGTCAGTGTAAACAAGCCGTGTCGTGTTTAGCTCTCAAACAAAATGATGGAGACACTAGATACTGCCAAAAGAGCTGTTGTGTCTGAAGTTTCCTGGAACAGGCTGAAACCCTCAGGTTATGTTTTCCAAATGCTTTACTGTGTCAAACCTTTTGTTGAAATTCTCTTTTATAATCTGTGCATTGAACTGAATTGTCCTGACTCTGTTCTTAGTTGGTTAATTCTCTTACGTTGAAGTTAGAAGGACTGAGAGAAGCTGTTCGGGTATGCACGTGAGATGTGGACGCTTGTGACAGAGTTCCCCTTAACTTTTGGGGGAATGCTTTCTTCAGCTTTTTGAGGTTCTGTAAATTACATTAGAAGTGATGATTGGAGTGTTGTTTGAGAGCCGTGGACTGTACATCTCCAGGATGAACTAAGATACTCTTATACAGTATACTATAACATAGTAACTATGTTCTAACTATAGAACTCAGGAAGAGTTGTTTTTTCTGCACTGTATGTATGAAAGTGTCATAGGCCGCACAGCATCTCCTCTAACTGGTTTTGCATTGTGTTGGGTTTTTTTTCCTTATCTCAAAGGTACACCACAGCCAATGCTGAATCTGATTACGACCGGGAGTCTGAGAGAGAGACTGAAGAAGGGGAAGATGAAGTGAGCTGTGAAACAGTGAGAACTGCACGCCGGGATTCCCTGGATCTTGTCAACGAGGATGAAGTGAATTTAACCTTGGATTCCTCACTGGAGGAAGGACTGGGTCAGCTACTGCAGCAGGCTGACCGCTTGCACGACGGCGATGAGCAGGAGAAGAGAGAGGGATTCCAGCTGCTGCTGAACAATAAACTGGCGGTAAAGGTTGCCTTTTTAAGTTTTCCAGCAGTGAGTGGTGGTTTCAGCTAAATGGCTGGGAAAGAGGAAATTGCATATCTTAGCAGAGTCCAGGTCCTACCTCACAACTAGGACAGCTTCCAGTGGCCAAAATTGTTCCCAGCCAGTTCCCAGTTGCTTTCTGTCTTGGAACTGTGTGTCTCATCGTGTCATCACTTTCCTGAGCGAACACACTGTACACGTGTAAAATAACAGTACTGTGTGTATACTGTAAACTTGGCCAACGTTTTGAGAACGTTTACCTTGTTGCACATGCAATGGTTCAGCCTATGCCCAGGGAACTTGGCCCTTCCAAGTGCTGCCCAGTGCACGTATACACCACGTTCATGAAATAAATAAGTTGCATATTCAAACAGAAAGGTTAGGCAACACTTAGGTTTTACTGTCAGCATCTGTTAGTGTTTACCTAAGTGCTGCACAGCCAGCTTCAGAAACCAGTCTGAGGTTACCAGCCTTTTAAAAAATCAAACCCTTTTTTGGCTGCTGTATTTCCAGGAGGAACAGAAGGAAAGAAAGAACAGGTAACAAGATGGTTTTTTTCTACTCTGCCCTGGTGAGACCGCATCTGGAATATTGTGTCCAGTTCTGGGCCCCTCAGTACAAGAAGGACAGGAACTGCTGGAGAGAGTCCAGCGTAGGGCTACAAAGATGATGGAGGGAGTGGAGCATCTCCCTTCTGAGGAGCGGCTGAGGGAGCTGGGGCTCTTTAGTTTGCAGAAGAGGAGACTGAGGGGAGACCTCATTCATGTTTATAAATATTTAAAGGGTGAGTGTCACGAGGATGGAGCCAGGCTCTTCTCAGTGACAAACAATGATAAGACAAGGGGTAATGGACACAAACTGGAACACAGGAGGTTCCACTGAAATTGGAGAAGAAACTTCTTCTCAGTGATGGTGCCAGAGCCCTGGCCCAGGCTGCCCAGAGAGGTTGTGGAGTCTCCTTCTCTGCAGACATTCAAAACCCGCCTGGACGCCTTCCTGTGTAACCTCATCTGGGTGTTCCTGCTCCGGCAGGGGGATTGGACTGGATGAGCTTTGGAGGTCCCTTCCAATCCCTGACGTTCTGGGATTCTGTGATTCTGTGAAGAAATGACAGGCGTGTTGGCTTCTGAAATTCTCTTGCATGCTCCTTTCTGGTGATTCTCCCACTTTCTTTTATTTACAATTCTCTCATGAAAGAAACCAGACTGTTAGGCAGTTGTGTTTTAATGTTCTTCTGTTTTTACTTTCTTAAGCAAGTTTGAGTTTGTCAGATTGTATCCACTTCAGATTTAGCAGCTACCTACAGTACTGTCTGACATTTAAGAGCAAGTCAGGATATGAAATTGTTTGAATGCAGACTGAGGCATTAAAAAAGTAAAATTCAATTTGTGAGTTTTAATGAAGTGGTGAGGTTGAGGGTGATTCCCACCTCCCCCACCAGTGTTTTGTGGGTAGCAGAGACTGCTGAAGAATCGACCCCAGTGTGGCCTTTGAAGTGGAGGGGTTTCTTGTTAGAAGGTGGCAAATTAGACCTGTACCAGCAGTGTGGCGTTGTAAGCTTAACTATAAATATGGCCATCCAGTTTGCTCTTTTGTGGTTCTGCTTCAGCTCTTGTAGAGTTGGGGCCTTTTAAGGTTTCAAAAAATCACAGAATCTCAGGAGTTTCAAGGGTCCTCGAAAGCTCATCCAGTCCAACCCCTGCCAGAGCAGGTCACACAGGAACGTGTCCAGGTTGGTTTTGAATGTCTGCAGAGAGGGAGACTCCACAACCTCTCTGGGCAGCCTGGGCCATGTTCTGTCACCCTCACAGTAAAAAAGTTTTTTCTCATATTCAGGTTGAACCTCCTGTGTTCCAGCTTGCACCCATTGCCCCTTGTCCTGGCATTGGACATCACAGAGCAGAGCCTGGCTCCTTCCTCCTGACACTCGCCCTTTACAAATTTATAAACATGAATGAGGTCACCCCTCAGTCTCCTCTGCTCCAAGCTAAAGAGACCCAGCTCCCTCAATATTCCAGATGTGGTCTCACCAGGGCGGAGCAGAGGGGCAGGAGAACCTCTCTGCCCTACAACCACCCCCCTCCTGATACACCCCAGGATGGTGTTGGCCTTCTTGGCTCAAGGGCACACTGCTGGCTCATAGTCATCCTGCTGTCCACCAACGCCCCCAGGTCCTTTTCTGCCTGGCCACTTTTCAGTCACGAATGTCTTTGTGACTTCTAATACGTGCCTCCACTTGATTTTTCTTTCTTATGCTCTTTGTCAATGGCAGAATGGGTGCTGATGTATAACATTTGTTTTTACTGCAGTATGCAGACCAGAAGGACTTCCTCTGGCGCCTGGCTCGAGCGCACAGTGATATGTGTGAAATCACACAAGACGCAGATGAGAAGAGATCGTACGCATCCGATGGTGAGGAATTGCGTGTTTGAGGCAAAGGAGGCGGGATGCTCGGAGCTGACATCACACTTCACAGTTATAAACCCTATGCTTGCAATTAATGTGGTGGATTTTTTTTCTTTAATTTATTTTTTTAATGTGAGTAGTTAGCAGTACTGTGGAGATAAGTGTTTAAAATGTCTGCTTTCTGACAGATAGTGTAAGTAGACCAAGGGCAAGTTAAAGGTAAGTTTGTTTCTCAAACCTGTCATCCATATCCTTTGTGGTATTAAGATAAATAAGGTTTTGCTGTAACACATTTAATGTCTTGTGTTGCTAACAAGTGCACATATAAAAGACAGATATATTTAAACTGTCTCTTTACTTAAAGGAATCAGTTTAGTTTTGTTCCCTCATTATTCTTCACTGTCTCAAGCGTGGTTTGTTTGCAAGATTGTAAAAACATAATCTTTGTTGAGATGTGCCCCAAAAGCTACTATTCTAACTAATTTCTGTCCTGGTCATTATACACATAACTAAATATAATCAGTTAATACTATTACTATCTAATATAAGCATTCTTTTCCGGAAATCAGTGAAGCCATTTAAAACTTGAAGTTTTAAGTTTTCTTTTGATAGTCCTTTCAGCCTTCAGGTTTTTTTGAGACTGCAGGTTCTTGGAGGAAAGAGGAAAAGTGGGGCAGGTCCTAGATCTGAGGCTGTGAAATGCATCAGAACAAAACCACTGAAAACTGTATCACAGAATCCCAGACCGTTGGGGATTGGAAGGGACCTCCAAAGCTCATCCAGTCCAATCCCCCTGCCGGAGCAGGAACACCCAGATGAGGTTACACAGGAAGGCGTCCAGGCGGGTTTTGAATGTCTGCAGAGAAGGAGACTCCACAACCTCTCTGGGCAGCCTGTAGTAGTTCACTTTTCTCCACGTGGTGTGGAAGATGGCATCCTCACAGATAACTGTACACCCAAATGAGGTGAAACCATGTTGACAGATCAACACAGTACCACGAATTTGTGTGATCTCTTTTAGCGGTCTTGGACGTTCCACATCACTGCAAGATTATGAAATGATTTGTGTCTTTTCAATCCAAATGCATTATAAAATCAACGGATTTATGACTTTTACGCCGTTCTGTTATTGTACTCGAACAGACTGAGAGATAGAAGTAAAGAGAGAAAGCAGCTGAATTTCTTACCTCTGACCGCTTATTTGCAGGGAAAGAAGAGCTAGAAATTGCCTTACAGAAATGGGACCAAAGTGCTGAGTGCCATCAATGGTATGTAACTTTTTACTACTTGCTTTTAAGAGGCATAGGAAAAGGACTTGGAGACTGCTGTGAGCTGAGCTGCAGTTAAAAAATAAATAATAATTTTAAAAGCTTATTTTCTCTTAGTTGGAGCATTCTCCGTTGATGTTATTTTCCTTAAGAAGCCATTTTTAACAGCTTTTGTTAACTGGTGTAAGTAATGGCTTGACAGATGCTAGATTTGGTTGTGGTCATAGTAGTAAACTTCGCTTTGCTTGTGTCAATTAATTATGAATTTCTCTCTGAGAAGAGATGGCCGGAAGAGTTCTTGAGCAAAAGCTCCCAGATAAAATAATGAACTTCTTTGAGTATGGATTGTATCAAGGCTTTTGTGAGTCTGCACCTAACAAGGTGATGAGCTGTGGTGGTGGTGAAGGATGAACTTCCTGATGAAGCTTGGAGAACCAAGTTATTGACAAAATGAGTTTGAGATTCATGAGTACGAGGAGCTCTATTTGGTGTTCACCAGGCTAAGTTTAGCAGACTAAGCTGCGTATTCTTTGAGCTACTCATAGCTTAAGTGCATATATCTTGAAAAGGTGAAGTGCAGGCAAGTTTGTTCAGAAGCCTTCCTGGGAATTGGGCGCTTTCCCTTTCCAAAGACACTGACTTGTGCAGCAGCTGGTATTTGGTATTTGGGCCTGTGCATGTGCCTGGTTGGGACACAGCAAGCGCCTTGGCAAGGAACTGAACTCCAGCAGCAGCGCTTTTGGTTGTGCAGACCCTGGGAAAAATTGTGTATCGGAGCGCCCTGTTCTGTGCTGGGTGTAGACGGGCTGCCAAAGAAATGTTTCATGCAGATAACTTGCAGAAAGCTAGTTCCTGAGTTTGAGAGCTCAATATGACGAGGCTCTCTTTTTCTTTCACAACTCCTCTGTTTCCTTTGGCCCCTTTTCAGCCCCCCATGCAATAATGTTTATATTCTCCAAAGCCAAGCTCACAGCCAGCTGCACAGCTCTGGGGGCAAAGTATTGAGAGTTTCATATTAAAGACGAATGAGGCATTTCCTTTGGGTTTCTCCAACATTCTTGGGTTAACTGCTGGTTTTTCACTCTGTTATTGGCATTTTGATAATGCTTTGCTGCACAGAGATGCTTGCTTTATGTCAAGAGGTGATGTATTTGCCTCAATCAGCTCAGCTTGTGAGCGGGGGGTGTAGCGTTGTGCCAATGTTCTCATATTCATCTTAAGTTTGGAGTGAGGAGAAACAGCATTGTTATCAGACAGGCTTTTGCAGGCTTCTGGAGAGCGTCCTCTGTCCTGGCACTGCTGTGTTCTGCTCATGGATGCTGCTCGTCGCTGCAAAGCGCTCGGGCTCTGACCTGAATTGAGACGCCAGCCTGGCTCTTATCTTTTACAAAGATATTTTAGATTCTTTCTTCTCATGGTAAAAGATGAAACGATCTCCACTTTAGCCCAGCAAGGTGTTCTGTGTGTTCCAAATGCTGCAGCTGGGTAGGGTTTCAGTAAGGATGGAGGCAAGAGGGAAAGTACTTTGCTTTCCTCAGCATCTTCATATGGTGATGTGTGGGATTGAAAGGATTACTCTCCTTCTCTAAAAAGACACCAGAAGTGAATTTGTAGAGTGGTGCTGATACTTGTAGATGTTAGGGAATATGCTTTTTTGGTATTCTGGTGAGTTCCTTGATGAATAGTGTTTATCAGCAGTTACTGTGAAGGACTGACAACATGTTAAATAGAACGAGAGAAATTATTTCCTTATGGATGTTTTTGAGAAAACAGGATGTTGAATATCTTTGCCAAGGCTGGCCTGTGCTCTTTTGAGATGGGTAAATTTATTTGGAGGATAGGTCTAGACTACTGGCATCTACGTAAATGTCTTTATTGTTTTGGAAAGACCGTGTATTTTAGCTCTCACTAATGAATTGCTGCTCTCAATTAGAGCTTTGTTATGAAGGAAGAATGCTGGGATGGACAATGAGGTTACCTCTGACAGGTTATGGTGTTTGGCTTTGGCTGGAGTGGTATTTTAGTTGCCAGGTTGAGTGTTATAGTTTGTAAGCCACTTTGCTTTGTAAAATATCAAACAGGTGTCAATGTTCTACTCCAGGGTACGACACTGACAGCTTAGCTTTGTATTTCAGAGTTTCGAGTGTGCAGCAGTAATGGCTGTGTGTGATGTCTAGCCATGTGTCTCCAGCAGAAACTCAAACTTTTTATGCCGAGACATTCTCAGTGCCTCCGTTAGAGCCCGTGCCCACGTCTTCCCACAGCAGTTCTGGGCAAAGAGTGCACATCCTTTTCCAAACAGGTTAAGGCTTCTGCACATCTACATTTTTGCTTTTAACTCTAGGCAGCAGCTGGAGAGAGGAAATAGCAGAGCAGCATGTGGGAGGCATGGGATTTATTAGAAATGAATATGTAACTACCTTTGTCAGTCACAGAAGTAATTACTTTCTACCACAAATAGAACAGGAAATTACTCCCTTTCCAGCTCTGCATGGGTCATGGGATGGTTGCAAGCTGTTTTAATTGCAGTCTTTTTTAACGCTAATTGAATTTACCCTGAGAAAAAAAAAATTACTGCTCATTAAATGATGCTTAATACATAATAAGAGATGTATATGTGAAAAACGTAGGGGGGGAAAAAACCACAGAGTACCAAAAGACATTATAGGTTGTTTTCCCTTTGCTCCAGTAATGCTCAGAATTATGTTTAGTCCCCACGCTGTCTGTGGTAGCGATGTTTAGGAAAATATATTAAGGAAAAAAAAAAAGAAGAAAGAATACAAGTGTGCCATCTTTGCCTGTGGCAGGGAGAAGAGCAGCGGTGGGTTCATAGCCCGTGATGGAGTCAGCCTCCCTGAGCTGGTGTGTTCTTGCTGTAGCCACTTGGTTCCTTCCATTTCCATACCTTCCTCTGCTACAGATCCCATAATTGAACGTGCTCTACATAGGAAAAGAAACGTTTCCTCTGTTTGAAATTGCCAGTAGAGGTTATGAAGCTTTTTTGGTTCTGATGTGATGCCCTAGCTCTTTGTTCATGAAGAAGTGAACAGAGAATGACTATTCACACTTCCTTTGTACAGTACAGTTTTATACTGTCATGTTTCTCTTTTGTATCTGTTTCCCTTGCTGAAGAATCCTAATCATGTTACCTCTTTTCATAGAGAATCATTTTATTACCTCTTATCACCCCATTTCCTGTATTATTCTCTTTCTACCCTATCTTTTTCAGACAAAAGTAGGGGATTTCACTGCAGGACACGAGTTGTGGGGGCAGCATGGATTTGGACAATACAGATGTGATGCTTTGTGTTCTTACTTCCACATACAGTAGTCAACATTGTCTCTTTTCCACAGCACTCTAAATAGACATTTTAACAGAAATATTCCCAGTGATTTTAGTGCCTCTTCTGTGCGACACAGGCTGTGTGAAGTCTGTGGTAGTGTAGGTGTTGTTAGGGCTGCGTTTTTTCCTGTACGTGTTATTCCGTATCGATCGTAATTTTCTTTTTTTATCAGTTGCTGTTTAATGCTTATGGATTACTTAAAATGCAGTCGTGCTGGTTTTGGAGGCTTAGTCATTGTTCTCTGCTATATTATTTGGTTTCGTTGCACAAATCATTCCATTTTACTGCCTTTAAGGTGGGATGCTCATCAAGCACGACAGAAGATACTTTGCATACAATCATCGCTGCAAGTAAAACTTTTCTTCCCCCCTCTCTCAGGGCCTCATAGTTATTGCGGTAATGACTGACATTTTACAGCAACAAGGAAAGCAGATAACGTTGAATGAGAAGGGATTTCAGAGGCAGCTCTGAGGGGAGGGTGACTGGCTGCAGCTTTGGAGCGGTGTGTGGCTCGGTGGTTTGAAGGCTTTGGCAGCGTGATGGTAAGTGGTTTCTCAAGAATGACAGAGAAAGCGGTGAGCGTCTGGGACTGTGTCTGGCCTAGCCTTGGGATTGGCCCAGATATGAAGGAGAGTCTTTTTTCATGAGTCTTTTGGGTCTTTGTGACATTAAATTGGCTACAAAGATATTGTTGTGGTCGCTTTTGGAAGTCATCTGGTCCCAAGAGAGCCATTGCCGCAGAGCTGGAGAAACAGAACTGAGATATGATCAGGGCTACACAGACAAGGCAGCCTGGGTGCAGTGGGGCTGTTCTCTGGCTGTGCTTCCTTTGGAGCCACTGCTTGGGAATGCAGAAACATGTGGGAGTTGTGCTGGACATTTGATGTATTTAGTACCTTTAGAATAGGTTTGTGTAGGTTGACAGTCGTCTTAACATGAGCCAGCACTGTGCCCACGTGGCCAGAAAAGCCAAAGGCATCTTAGCCTGTATTAAAAACAGTGTGACCAGCAGGGCCAGGGAGGTGATCATCCCCCTGTACTCGGCACTGGTGAGGCCACACCTCGAGTGCTGTGTTCAGTTCTGGGCCCCTCACTAGAAGAAGGATGTTGAGATTCTGGAGCGTGTTCAGAGAAGAGCCACAAGGATGGGGAGGGCTCTGGAGAACAAGCCTGATGAGGAGCGGCTGAGGGAACTGGGCTTGTTTAGCCTGGAGAAGAGAAGGCTGAGGGGAGACCTCATCACCACCTCCAACTGCCTCAAGGGAGGTTGTGGAGAGGTGGGTGCTGGTCTCTTCTCCCAGGTGATGGGGGATAGAACAAGGGGAAACGGCACCAAGCTGTGCCAAGGGAGGTTCAGGTTAGAGAGAAGGAGGAAGTTCTTTACTGAGAGGGTCATCAGAAGCTGGCACAGGCTGCCCAGGGAGGTGGTGGAGTCACCATCCCTGGATGTGTTTAAAGAGCGGGTAGACGAGGTACTTAAGGATATGGTTTAGGGGGTAGACAGGAACGGTTGGACGTGATGATCTCAGAGGGCTTTTCCAACCGAGCGATTCTGTGTGTGTGATTCTGTGTGATTCTGATTCTGTGTGTATTGTAGGCTGCTTGATATTACACCAAGTGTTCACAATGTCTGTGTACTCCTGTCTTATCATTACC